AACCACTGACCCCTGACTTGCCTGGCCATTCACAATCGGCAGCAGCAGCAACCGTTTCACTGTAGTTGCAAAGTGCCAGCTACACAATCAAAAGTCAGTAGGGTGCACCTGTGTTTATTAGGCTGCGAGCCCCCTGGCAGACCCTTGGGATCCAGCCGAGTTCTGGGGAGTGGTGGTGACATCGGACAATGACCGGAGGTCATTTGAACTCAGTAGAAAAATAGAAAGACCTTGCTCGTTCCACACTCTTTAAAAATCCAAAAGGAAACTCGATTTCAACAAAGAGTAGAAGCATCTTTGGAAGACAGGCATCTTTTTTCCCCCTTCCTTTTGATACTAAGAAAAACATATGCTTCAACACAAAGATCCAAAGCAGTCAGCCCGAGAACTTAGGGGGAATAAAAACACACTGAGAACAGTGATTTTAAAAAAAGGAACCTTGAAAAGAAACTATAAGACTATGTAACACAACAAAAAATGACTAACAGTTATATTTACAGTCACACTGTACAGCTAGGGCCATGGACAAACAGGCCTTCCAAACCTGCACCCCATTTTCAGAACCACTCAGTTTGTCCACCACACTACTTTTTTTTTAAAGTTCTACAATAATTTTTTTAAATTTTATTGATTATGCCATTACAGTTGTTCTATTCCCCCCTTCATTCCCTTCCACTCTGCTCCCCCCACCCCCACCATTCCCCCCCTTTAGTTTATGACCACGTGTCTCAAGTTCTTAGATTCTATATTTCCCATACTATTCTTGCACCCCTATCTATTTTGTACCTACCTTCTGTGCTACTTATTTTCTGTACCTTCTCCCCCCTTCTCCTCCTCCCACTCCCCTATTGCTAACCCTCCATGAGATCTTCATTTCTATGTTTCCACTCCTGATCTAGCTGTCCTTTTAGTTTGCTTTCGTTTTAGGTGTAGTTGTTAATAACTGTGAGTTTGCTGTCCTTTCACTGTTCATCTTTTTTATCTTCTTTTTCTTAGGTAAGTCCCTTTAACATTTCATATAATAAGGGCTTGGTGATGATGAACTCCTTGAATTTGATCTTATCTGAGAAGCTCTTTATCTGTCCTTCCATTCTAAATGAAAGTTTTGCTGCATAGAGTAATCTCAGTTATAGGTCTTTGGATTTCATGACTTGGAATACTTCTTTCCATCCCCTTCTTGCCTGTAGGGTCTCTTTTGAGAAATCCGCTGACAGTCTGATGGGAACTCCTTTGTAGGTGACTGTCCCTTTATCTCTTGCTGCTCCTAGGATTCTCTCCTTCATTTTAATCTTGGCTAATGTAATTATGATGTGCCTTAGTGTGTTCCTTCTTGGGTCCAACTTCTTTGGGACTCTCTGAGCTTCCTGGATTTCCTGGAAGTCTATTTCCTTTGCCAGATTGGGGAAATTCTCCTTTATTATTTGTTCAAATAAGTTTTCCACTGGTGGTTGTTGCTTTCCCCCTTCTGGTACCCCTATAATTCAGATGTTGGAGCGTTTAAAGATGTCCTGGAGGTTCCTAAGTCTCTTCTCATTTTTTTGAATTCTTGTTTCTTCATATTTTCCTGTTTGGCCATTATTTTCTTCCTTCTGGTTCACTCCCTTGATCTGAGTCCCAGTTTCCTCTTTATCATTATTGGATTCCTGTGCATTTCCCTTCATTTCAATTAGTTTTGCCTTCATATGTTCCTCTAATGTGTGACTATAATCAACCAGTTCTTTGAGCATCCTGATCACCAGTGTTTTGAACTATGCATCTGAAAGTTTTGCTATTTCTTCATCACTTAGATTTATGGGCTCTGGGGCTTTGAGATCTTCTTGAGCCATTTTTGGTTTGTTCGTGCCAGTTAATTATGAGGAGCAGAGCCTTAGGTGTTCACAAGGGAAGGGCTGCCCGGGTTGCTGGGTTGTGACGCTGTATGTGAGGGTGGGGTCAGAGCGGGGAAATGGCAGCCCCTTCTGCTGCCTTTCGCTGCTGGGGCCTGCTCAGTCCCGTCTCACCGCCCACTCCCTTGCTGGTCTATCTGTGCAGGAATGTGGGACCACAGTCAACCCACCGCCCTGCACCCTCGCTGGGTACGCTGGTTGCTCACTGGGTCGCTCACTGGGTCCGCCCATTGCAACCCCACGCCTGGGATCCTCGCGCCTGAGTCCATCTGACCAAGTTTTCCTGTGCAACCCCACTCCACCAGCTGCTGGCTTCGCCCCTCTTACCAGTCAGGCTGAAGAATTTGTTGTTATCAGACTTCCAAAAAGTTCAATTTTCTGTGTTCTGACTATGTTTTCTGTTGCTAATATTTTGTTGTCTCTCAACTTGGTTGTGGGATAAAGCACGGCGTCTCCACCTATGCCTCCACCACACTGCTTCTTGACAGAGCTCTGATCTTCCCAGTTTTGACCTTGTAACATTTTTTTCCAACCATGGTTTTGTCTCATCTCCCAGACTTCAGGCATGGCTTGAAGTGTTTGCTTTACTTGACTGAGATTTAGACACTCCTGCAGCCTTCAGGGACTAGAGCCTTCAGTGGCTGCACAGCATTTAGCCTGGTCCAGGGATGTCGCTCGTCACTGCACCCATCACTGTGACTTGTGGAAAAGCGTTCCATTGTGTTGCAGTGTGTCCTTCCTTTTCTCAGGTGTATTCCGCAAGGCCAAGCCTGGAATAAGGCTTTAGAGTTGACTTCAGGCTCACAAGTGGTAAGACGAATTCCAAGTTAAGAAGGAATTGTTAAATATAATGAGAAAGCAAACCATATTCAATGTTTTCAAATCCGCTATTTCCACTGGTATATTCTACCCGACTCGGACAGCCATATATTTTTTCTTAGGTTGTGTTAGGAAGAAAAACAAAACATGGGCCTGTCACAAAATGCTCACACATCACAGACACTGCAGTATTCGTTTTCTGGAAAAGTTCCTAAAGGAAGGAAGAAGCATCTGTGTCCTATGTTTGTCACTCTATGAAATGGGATGTGGAATGGGGAGTGGCGTATGGAAGGGACGTCTATTTCTCACCGCTGGGAATGCTGAAATAGAGCGTCAATTTTGAGCTATGTATTTGGCAGCGCCATGCGGGTGGGGACTGCCATGTTGTATGCATGCGATTCCCTGTCCCCTCCAACCTCACCTCACTGACGCAGTGGCGCAGGAGCAGCACGGTCAAGGTGCTCGGACCCGGCTCTTCTGCTTACTGACTCTGACCTTGCGCATGTCAAGTAAGCATTCCGGGCTTGTGTCCCCACTTGTAAGATGGAACCAGTAATACTTTTTGTTTATTATTAAATGTGGCTGTTATAGGTTGTGTTTCCTCAAAAGATATATTAAAGTCCTAACTCCCAGTGCCTATAGGGTTGCTATAGATAGAATAAAGTGAGGTCATACTGAAGTAGGGTGGGCCCTTAATCCAGTATGTCTGGTATGTGTATGAAAACAGGGAAGATGCCATGTGCAGACAAACACACAGAGACAAGACAGGCAGAGATTGGAGCGACGCAGCTGCAGACCAAGGAACACCAAGGATTGGTGGCCACCACCAGAAGCTAAGAAGAGGCAAGGAAGGATTCCTCCCTACATGTCTCAAGGGGAGTATGGCCCTTCCTTGACTTTGGACTTTGAGCCTGCATAACTGGGAGACAATATATTTCTGTCATTTTAAGCCCCCCAGCTTGTGGTACTGTGTTACAGCAGCCATAGGACACTGACGCAGTGGTTGTTTTGTAATTTATTTAGTGTGTGTGCGCTTGCATGTTTTAATTGCAGAGAAAATAGACTGAGAATAAACGAGGTAAATAAAAAGGAAAAAAAGGTGATTTTTCTTACACATCTAAAACAAGGAAATAGCATTTCCTTTAGAGCCAATACTGCCTCTCCCAACTCATCTCCTAATACGCCCCACCCCCACCTCCCACCCCATTTAATCTGCTCCAGAACGCTGGCCCTCTATCTGTGCCTGTAATACCCCACCACGTTCCTTCTTAGGTAGGGCCTTTGCATCAGCTTCTTCTGCCTGGAACGTGCCCGGGGCTAACCCCTGACTGCCTGTCTTCCTCAAGGAGGCCAACGCTGGCCCCTCCATTTAGAACAGCAGTTCGTACTCCTGTCCCACCCAGCACCCCCAAATCCTCTTACTTAGCTCTGCTTCTGCTTTTTCTCTTTTCCATGTTCTTATTGGCTTCTACTACCCTAGTAGCTTACTTCTTTCTCTATTATGTGCATCATTTACGATCTGTCCCTCTCCTTGCTAGAACATAAGCTCCATGAGGAAACAGGTATCTACAACAGCACCTAGGTCATACATAATATATGCTCAACAAGGATTTTTAAAAATCCATTTTTTATTTTTAATTAACCAGAGCTTGCCATAACTAATACAGAGGTTTTATTTCCTTTGATACTTGTCTTTTACTTCTATCTCTTCCCCTAACTTCCAGAAGTAGTTAGTAGTTATCTGCAGCCAAAAGAACGGGATGACGCTGTGCTTAGAGGGGAGGGAGGCAGGAGGGAAAGTTCCCGAGTTCGCAGTACCAGGCTCTGTGGTCCACACACACCATGAAACACAGGCCACTGACTACTCCACAGGACTTTTAACAGCAGCAAAGCAATAAACAATGATAATTCCATGTTACTGTAATTTCTGCCATTATCACTGATCCCCCATACCCTCTCTCACCTCCACCTATTCCCTCCCCTCCCCAGATAAACTGCATTTTTATATTACTCTCTCCCATTTGCAAAACATTCTCATACGAAATTTTCCTTTATAGAGGCAAGAACCGGGGCTCAGAGAATTTAAGTGACTTGTCCAAGTGTACTCAGCTGGTAGCAGAAGGGCTGGGAATTAAATCTGGAATGAGAAGACCAGCAGCACCGAGGGTCTTTAACTTGGTCAGTGAAATGCTTGCTACCCATTTCTAAAGTCCCACTCACAATACAGGAAATGCATTTTAGCATTTTCTCCAGAAGCTACCTCCTACCTCCCCATCCTCAAAACACGTGACTTACCTACCTTACTAGCCACGTGTGCTTTCCCTGTTGGGTATCTCTCCACCAAAACTTTCTTCTTGTCAAAAGGAGAATTCACCTTCAGTGGTGAGTGTGCCGGAAAATGAGGTACATTTCGAGAAAGCCTGGGAATCACGGCTCTTATGAACTGTTGGGGGAAAACACAAAACATCAAGAGTTATACATCTTCAATCTGCTCCCAGAATACCTTCAAAATGAATCTCTTTTCCGTTGCTTGGCACAAGCCACTACAAAAGAGTTTTTTTTGCTGAGATTTCCAATTAAATTTAATAATATTAAACTTGCATTCCTTAGCCTACATTTATTCTAGGGCCTTAATAACATTTATTATAAACTGTTTCCACTTTTGAAGGGATTGAAAGAACCACGTCCATGAATATTGAGGCTCCCCTCCTTCTTCCACACAAAACTCTCCCTCTTCATGGCAGTGCAGCTAAAATTCAAGGAACTAGAAGACACGAATGCAACACAGCAGAAGTGATGGCGGTAATCATTACATTATTTCTTCCTCCTGAGATATCGGAAGCATCTTTTTATTTAAATACCAATCACCGACTTAACCAGGTTAACGGAATCCATCTGGGGAGAGCATGCATGACACCTTCTAAACATGGCCAGAGTGAAAACCATGACCGAAGGACTAGATTTTAACTGGAATGGAAGTGGAAATGTCTGGGCACCAACCCCAGACTCAAATATGCCCTTTGCAAAGCCCAGGCAAAGAAGCCAACGTTCTGGAGCAATGATACGGGAAGAAACCTCTTCTCATCTCAGGCTGACAATGGCTGTCTGGCCCTTGTGGGGAGACCACTGTGTGGATTTAGAGAAGGAGTCCCAGTTCTGGCTCTGAGAGGCTGGTTTGTGTCAGACCGTCACCTTCCCACTGAACACAATGAGAAATGCTGGATAAAAAATATTTGGAAAACCTATTTAAAGACATTGGAGAGCTACTAAGGCAGGCAGGGCATGAGAGGCCAAGGTCTTAGGGAGAAGAGAAATAAAATTAAGTCATGGTACCACTTTTCTTCTCAGGGCACCCACTGATCTTAAAGAGGCACATTCCAGAACTGCTGAGAAGCCAAGCAGAAAGCAGCTGCTTAGAGGCACATAAAGTGAGCCAACCTCCTGGCAGACTAAAGAAATCGCGGAGAGGAGGGACACGCAGAGAAGCGAGCTGGACATTCTGCCTCTCTAAGCACTTGCTAATTGATAAATGAGGCAAACCAAGCAGAAAGCAGTGCCAAGAGGCTGGGGAATTCAGCAGAGCTTTTGACAGTTTCATGATGTTGGAGGAATTAACATTAGTGTTCAGGGCCCACCCAAAAGAGGAAAAGCCCAGGTAAATAGCCCCTGCTTTTATTCAGGACCCCTGAAGGGCTGCTCCTACCATGAAAGTCTGAAGTAATACCACAACTGAGCCTTCGATCAGTTCAGTCCCGCATCGGATTAAGGCAAAAGGATCCCGTGGAGAAGGATACCATCATCAAGAACAGGGGTGTCAAACTCATGTTCACTGGGGGCCACATCAGCCTCATGGTTGCCTTCAAAGGGCCGAATGTAATTTCAACTCCTCAACAGTTGAGGGGTACTTACATTTATACAGTCCTAAAATTATTTCAGCCCTTTGAAGGCAACTGCGAGGCTGATGTGGAACCTGGTGAACATGATTTTGACAGCCCTGATCTAGAGTATTTATGATTCTTTATACAGAATGTCTGCAGTCAATCAACAATTACTAGGTATACCAGGGCATGAGTTTAAGAAAGAGACAATAAAAACAGACCCAGACATGACCCAAACAGAGTCATAGGATATGGTCTTTAGAATAACTATAATTCATATGCTCAGAGTTGTAAAGATTGTAAAAATATTTTAACTCACAGAACAATCCTCCCAAATTAAGTCAAGATACAAAAGATTTGAAGAACACAATCAACTCAACTGAAGTAATCGCTCTAGAATACTGTACCCAACACTTGCATGAAATACTTACAGAAATTAATCACATGTGAGTCATAAAGTAAGTCCCCAATAGTTTAAACAAATGGTAATCATAGTGTACTTTTTGAACCTATGATTTTAAAATAATATAGGTTTATAGGACATCACAAAAATAGTATTGCTTTCTATTAAAATTTTTTTTCTTTCATTGATTCCAGAGAGAGGGGAAGAGAGGGAGAAAGAGGAAGAGAAACACCAATGTGAGAGAGAAACATCAATGGGTTGCCTCCTGCACACACCCCGACCGGGGAACTGAACCTGCAACCCGCGCATGTGACCGGACCAGGAATTAAACCTTTGCCCTTTTAGTTCGTGGGACAACACCCAACCAACTGAACCACACTGGCCAAGGCCAAACACAGTATAGTTTTTTAAATTGATGGAAAGTTTACATACAGTAAAACATAGACTGCTCTTAGGTGTACAATTTGACACACTTTGATAAAGAAATCCAACTATGTGACTGCCAACAGAACAGAAACACAGAGCATCTCCATCACTCCGAATGCTCCCCCATTCCCCCTTCAGTCACTCTCCACATCTCAGACACGACACTATTACCACAGATTGACTTGGCCTGTTCCTGAGTTTCGTACAAATGGACTCATATGGTATATGTACCCTTGCGTCTGACTTTATTCACTCAGCGTGTCTCTGAGATTCATCTACACTGTTGAGTTTATCAATAGTTTACTTCTTTTTATTCCTCATCAGTAAATAATCCATTATATAAAAATACCACAACTTATTCTATAGTCTCCTATGGATAAATTTGGTTGTTTCCATTTAGGGCTATTATGAAAAAAAAACTACTATAAATATTTTTGTACAAGTCTACTTATGAATATACTATTTTTCTTGGGTAAATACTTAGGAGTAGAACTACTAGATTACAGGATTGATAAGCATTTAACTTCATAAGAAACTGGCAAACATTTTTCCAAAATGGCCTTATCGCTTTATATTCCCATCAGTCATGCCTGAGAGTTCTAGTTTACACTGCCTCGTCAGCACTTGGTGTGGGCAGATTTTTAGTTTGAGCCATTCTAGTGTGAGGATTTGATCTGCATTTCCCTGGGGACTAATGATGGTAGTTTTTTGTGTTTCTCCTTCTGTGTAGTGTCTGTTCAGATATTTTGTCCATTTTAAAAATTGTAGGTAGGTTCAATATTGATTTATAGAAGTTTTTTTAACATATTCTGATCATAGTCCTTTTGTTAGATATATGTATTACATATATTTTCTCCCAGTCTGTGGCTTATCTTTTCAATTTCTTTTTTCTAAAAGATTTTATTTATGTATTTTTAGAGAGAGGGGAAGGGAAAGAGAAACAGAGGGAGAGAAACATCAGTGTGTGGTTGCCTCTCTCACTCCCCCTATTGGACACCTAGCCTGCAACCCAGGCATGTGTCCTGACTGGGAATCAAACCAGCAACCCTTTGGTTCACAGGCTCATGCTCGATCCACTGAGCTACACTAGCCAGGGCTATCTTTTCACTTTCTAACAGTCTTTTGGTGAACAGACAGATGTTTTTAATGTTGATAAGTACCAACATCATTTTTTCTTTATGTAAAGAAAAATACACTCTGATTTGGGTATTCTTCAAGGAATCTTTGCCTACGTCAAAGTCTAGAAGATCTTCCTATGTTTTTTCTAGAAGTTTTATAGTTTTAGCTTTCCATTTAGGTCTGTGATCTCTTTCAAATTAATTTTTGTGTACAATGTAAGGTAGGGGTAAGAGGTCAATTTCACCCCCATTTGTGCCAGCAACATTTGTTGAAGAGACTTTTTCTTCCACACTGAATCATCATAGCACCTTCACTGAGAAATAGAAATATAGCCTAGTTTGTTTTCAGTTAAGCTAGATATGAATACAAAATTATAACCAGAGAATCCTCAAATGTTGACAATTATGCAGTGCACATTTAAACATGGGTCAAAAAATAAATCACAAGGGTAACAAAAAAAAAAGTTTTTGACTTAAGTAATGATGTAGTGATGACAAATAAAAAAATAATGAAATGTAGCTAAAGCTATATTTTTAAAAGTTTGCAAATTAATTATTCATATATTCACCTCAAGAAATTAGAAGAATATAGAAATAAATCCAAAGAAAGGAAGAGAAAGCACTAAATAACAATAGGAGTAGAAATAAATGAACTAACTCACAGTAACCAGAGGGGAGAAGAGAGGGAATCACAGGGGAAAGAAGGGAAAGGCTCATCAAGGAACTTGCATAAAGGACACATGGACAGAACCAGAGGGGGCAGGATAGAGGGTGGGAGGTGGGGGGGGCCAAGGCTGGGGAGGGGGGAAAATGGAAACAATTATACCTGAAAAACAATAAAAAAAAACTTATTATCAGTAAAAAAACAAAAAAGAGAAAAAGAAAGAAATGAACTAGAAAACAACCCTAAATAGAAAAAAATCAACAAAGGCAAAAGTCGGTTCTGTGAAAAAGACTAATAACACTGATAAGCCCTGCAGAAGTCCTTGAAGGCAGACCCAAAGCTTCTCATCTCAACTCTATTGCCTAAAATTCTTCTCTCACTGACTTCAGACAGATTAAGTCTCCTCAGTTCCCCTACTGCTGTTGCCAAAGACAAGCACAGGGTCTATTTTGCTTGTGAGAGTTTTGTTTTTCTTCTTTACAGAGAAACAAATAAAGAATAACAGAAATAAAAAAGGGAAATTGCGAAGCTTCCAGAATCTTGAAAATTAGCTCTTTGTCAGCAATGTTATGAGGTTTAAACAATGCTGACCTTACATTTGACAAGCCATTAGCCCCCGATATGTGAAACTGTCTTTAAGACTATCTGAAATGCTGATTTACATCCACTATTATTATGAGTGGCTTCATTCTGAATGAATATGGTGCTTTAAAAGGGCAGCTAACAGCACTCACCATAAAGCCAATGTGATTAGCAAGACATTTTAAAATTAAGCCTCCAAGAAAAAAGAAACCTCATACACTGCCCGAGGAATGTAAACTGATACAGCCACTATTGGAAAACAGTATGGAGGATTCTCAGAAAAATTAAGAATTGAGTTACCACATGACCCAACAATCTCTCTTCTGGATATCTACTCTAAAAATTTGAAAACATTTATTAATAAAGATATAT